CATAACAGATCAATTTTTTCAATAGTATAAAGTTGAATATTGACTTATAACATATCGAAAGTTATTGATTTCTTTTTTATATTGATGTATAACTAATCAATTTTTTTTTCAATAGTATGAGTCAAATTTACATATTGGCATATAATGATCGATTTTTTTTTTTTATGTATTGGCTTATAATATATCGAAAGTTATATTTTGGCACATAACAGATCTTTTTTTTTTTCGTCAAATTTACATCATATAATATATTATTTATAGTGAAGTCAACTTTTGTTAAGTAATTGAAAATTAAAAATTATTTATGTATATAACCATTTCGAACAGTTTTTTTTTTTTTGAGAAACTTCTCTTCTCTTCTTTTCTCTAAATTTCTCTTCTCTAAATTTCTCTTCTCTGAATTTCTCTTCTCAAAATCTTTGTTTCGCTAAATTTTCTCTTTCAAAATTTTTTTCACTTCTCTTTTTAAATTTCTTTTTTCTTCCTTTACTTCTTTTCACTTCACTTCACTTCTCGAATTTCTTTCTTTTTTCAAATTTCTTTTCTTTTACTAAATTTCTCTTTTCTTCTCTCTTACCGAATTTCTCTTCACTTCTCGAATTTTCTTTTCTAATTGAATTTCTTTTCACTTCCCAAATTTCTCTTCACTTTTCGAATTTTTTTCTCTTCCTGAATTTTTCTTCTCCTGAATTTCTCTTTTCTCGAATTTCTCTTTTTTTATCGAATTTCTTTTCACTTCCTGAATTTCTCTTCTCTTTTCTTATCAAATATCTTTTTACTTTCTGAATTTCTCTTTTTTTATAATTTCTCTTCTCTTACCGAATTTTTCTTCACTTTTTGAATTTCTCGTTTTACTCTTTTCATATTGAATTTCTTAATTTCTCTTTTCTTATTGAATTTCTGGAATTTCTCTTTTCTTATTGAATTTCTCTTTACTCTCTTTCTTATTGAATTTCTTTTCACTTCTCAAATTTTTCTTCTCAAATTTTTTTCACTAAATTCTCTTTTGCTATAGCTAGAACAAAAAAATTCTGACGAACAACACCCCCAAGCTAACGTCCATCTACCACAACTCATCGTCAATCTAACAATACACCTTCAACTCCAACAACACCAACTCAATGTCAACCTAACAATACACCTTCAACTCCAACAACTCCAACTCAATGGCAACCTAATAATACACCTTCAATTCCAACAACTCCAACTCAATCTCAACCTCCTTCGACTTCAACTCAACCTCAACCTTCTTCGACTTCAACTTAACCTCAACCTCCTTTAATTTCAACTCAACCTCAATCTCCTTTGACTCCAATTCAACCTCAACCTATACCTTTGACTCCAATTCAACCTCAACCTACACCTTCAACTCCAATTCAACCTTCAACCCAATTATCAGAAAATGTGACTCCTGTTAAATCTGTTACTCCTATTATGAGGTCTCCTGTGAGAACAAATAGAAGCAGAAGCAGAAGCAGAAGTGGAGAATGAACCGAATCTTTGGCCAACTTTGATCTATTAAAAAGGAGTAGAAGACTAGAGAATAGTAAATCTACTGGTAGAATTTAAATAGCTATCGAATACTGATTTTATTTTTTTTACTTTTTTTTATATTTTTTACTATTTTTTTTATTGTCTTTTTTTTATTATTTTTTTATTTTTCATATTTTTTTATTTTTTTATTTTTATTTTAGAAAATCAGTTGCTATGGAATAAGATCAATACCTTACATGAGATTCAAAGGGACCAAGATCGTAAAATTATACAGTTGGAAGATACTGTAGATTTGTTACAGGATCAAAATCTTAAGTTTGTAGACTTTGAGAATAGTTTGGATGTGTTGCAGGGTTCATATAACTTTTTAGTTGATCAGATCAACAGCTTGCAAGTTTTAAATCACTAGTCATCAATGATTCAAGAACAGGTCAATTGGGTAGAAAGGAATGTGTTAGAATCTTCATCTGCCGCACAACAAAAAACAGCTAGAAAAGCTCCTGCGAGTAATGAGGTGTATCAAGTTTTTGAAAATGATCATGAAAGAAAAAAGGCACTTCGTGTATATACTTTTTGACTTATTTTTTTTGTTTTTATTAATAATCTTAATTTATTTTTTTTGTTTTTATTAATAATTAATTTATTTTTTTATTTTATTTTATTTTATTTTTATTTTTATTTTTAATTAATTAATAATTAATTTATTTTTTTATTTTATTTTTAATTTTATTATTAGAAAGAAATTTTTTACATTCTTAAAGAAAAGGTGAAGAGTATGGACTTGACTTCACTAAAAAATAGAAGGACCAAAAAAAATGCCTAAGTAAAAATACAATTCCTACACTATTCGACCTTTTGGGCCAGCAGTTTAACACTGATCAGACAGAATTGGGAAGCATTCTGCAACAACATATCAAATCGACCTGTAGCACTCGAGCTATATGTCAGAATCCAGATAAACAAAGAACTTCGATGAATATATACATAATAATTACTAGAGAGGCGATGCATGTTTTCTTTATTTATTTTATTATAATTTTCATTATTTATTTTATTATAATTTTTATTATTTATTTTTTTATAATTTTCAATATTTATTTTATTATAATTTTCATTATTTATTATAATTTTTTTTTTTCTAACTTACAAAAAATGGCTCGATGGGTCTCGGCATTCAAGTACCTTCATGAAAAGAAAGATACCCAGGTCACCAAATATAATACAGATGAATTAACAAATTTATTAATAGATAATAACATCCATTCACCTGAACTATTGGACCCTGGTAAGGCTACGGATGAGAAAAGACAATTGTATATTAATGTTCATGGTCTATCTTGGAGGTCGAGTGAGGTATAAATTTTTTTTTTTGTTTGTTAAATTAATTCAACTAATATTTAATATATGTTGTTATATGTATTAATTCAATTAATATTATTTGACTAATCTTTAATATATAATGTTACATTAATTCAACTAATATTTAATATATAGTATTCGACCTGCATTCAATCTAATCGAATACAGATCAAATACCATATCATTCAGCATCGAATTTACTAATTATAAAAATTTATTTATTTTTTTATTTTTTATTTTAATAGTTAATTCACTTGTTGCATAATGTTCTCGATTTGACAATTGTGCTAGCTCAAAAACGTCCCCATAGAAGATCATACATTGAGAGTTCAGAGATCTGAAGGTATACCCGATTGGGCAGCAGGTAGAGAAAATGAAGAAATTTATTCTAGTAGGGATGAAGGGAATGAAGATAATGATGATGAAGATAATGAAGATGATGAAGATAATAAAGATAATGATGGTGATTATAATGAAGATGAAGGTGAGGATGGTAATGATGGTGGTAGAAATGGGGTGGTGGAAATGGGGATGACAAAGCAAGTAGTAAAAGACCAGCTTCTGATATTATAGTGAAATGACCAAGTAAATGAATAGCTTAATATTTTTTTTTTAAATATTTTTTTTGTTTAATATTTTTTTTGCTTAATATATTTTTTTTATTTTGTATATATATTTGTATCTATGCTTATTAATTATTAATAAATATATCGAATTTTTTCCAATTATAGTCTGATTTATTTTAATATTATTATATATAAATATCCTAATATTCGACTACCTAATTTTATTTTGAATATTTAGTAGTTAACTACTAATCGCCCTATTTTATATTAGTATTCGGTAATCGAATTCTTATCGATTTATTATAGTATTCGACTACCAAATGAAATGACCAATTCAACCTGAATTCAATAGTTGAATAATTGGCTAATTTATATCGAATTGTTGAAATAATTCGACTATCGAATTCAGGTCAAATTGTTTCAAAAATTTGATATAAATTAGCCAATTTTTTAACTATCGAATTCAGGTCGAATTGTTTCAACAATTCGATATAAATTAGCCATTTATTTGACTATCGAATTCAGGTTGAATTGGTTCAACAATTCAATATAAAATTAGCCAATTATTCGACTATCAAATTCAGGTCGAATTGGCCATTTCATTCGGTAGTTGAATTTCTTATATTTGACTAGTGCCTGATACTTATTTATTTTAACAATCGGATTATAAAATTAATACTTTATCTCAAAATAATGCCTATGAGTGTATTCAAAATAACACATATATAGTCAAAATAGCGTGCAGATGCCCGCTATTTCAAGAATTTACAGTATTGGGATTTTGAGTATCATTGAGATTTGTTTTTCAGGATTTGCAAGATTTTGTATACTGCGATTCTTCTATAAAACCAATGTACTTTGTATTAAACAAAAAAAACAAATTAATTATTACAACTTTAATTAACCCAATTATAAATAAAACAGATATGGAAGAATTCTTATCTGATACTTCATTTGTTAGTGAAGAAGAAGAAATTAATAGTAACTTTAGCCAAGAATCTAATAACAATATTGTAGCAGAATACTATAAAGAGAATTTTATATTTGATTGGCAATTACTAAGAAATGCAAGTAAATTAGTAGCCGAATCTGATGAACTATCTGAAAGTGACGAAGAATTATTTAAAAAAGCTGAAAAACAAATGAACTTCTTGAAAGTGATACTGAATTCTTTAAAAGTGAAGAAGTATTTGAAGAAGAGTTTTTAAAGCCGATTCTCAATAACTCTAGTCATAATGTTAATCATTATTATGTAATCGTTGATTATAATAAAGATAAACACATGATTCAAAAATGTGATGCCCTAGCAATTCATAGAGTGTATAAACTATATGGTATGTGGGAGATTGATTCTCAAGCTGTGAAAGAAGCTGAAGAAGATCTTTTAGTGCTACGTATTTGCAACTATCATCTTAACTACGATAATTCACTGCATCCATGTTCACCTGAATCAGGAAAAAAAATAAAATCAGAATAGGCAATTAATGAAAGTAATGTTGTAAGATATCATTGCCTATTTTGCAATAAAATTAGGAGCTTTTTTACAAGAGGTGAGACATGTTCAGCACATATATGGATTATATATAGCCATAAATTCAAGTCTTGTGTTGAGGGTTATTCAATTGCCTATCGATTACCATATATGCTGGGTTATCAAGTAGATTACTAGCTAATAAACATCCTTGTTTTATTTGCACAAATTGCTATGTAACATATAGAGGTCATCTACATATCCTGCTAGGAAAAAAAGGAAGGCAGATATCATGTACAGGAAGAGGAGAACATGATAATGATACTGTATCTTTTTTGGTTTGTTTAGTAAGTGGATTAAATAGACTGCTGCATCAAATAATAAAACAGCAAAAGTTAATTTGTTAAAAGAACTTGTTAAACTATTAAATAACATTACTGTCAGTATACAAAGTAGTACGAGTGTATCCTTAACTACTCTTATAATTAGTGCAAGTGCACCCTTCACTGCTTCTATAGCCCCCAGCCCTTTTTTAATAAAAACAGTATTTAAAATTAAAAGAATCAATATCACTAAAGAAGTACAAGCAATGCAACTGAAAAAAACTATGTACAAAGATTTCAGAGAGGTACTTGTACACTCTATATTAAATGCACGGCCAAAACTCAAACAGAAATTACTATCGATAAAAGAGCTGAAATCATTAGACAAATATTATAATGCTATGCCAACTCTGTTTTAAACTTTTTTACGGACTTGATTTTAACTTTAAAAGAAAAGAGAAGACAAGTATTGGATAGAAAATGGAAAAAGCAAAAGTTGCCCTTACTACAATTAAATGAAAAAAAAATTAAGAAAAATTTTTTTTTTTACTTCTGTGTTATTTGGTATTGCCTTTCCTTACTAGAAAATATAGGTTATATATATACTTTCTTCACTTTGCTAAGACCAAAAATGATAGGAACTCTTTATAAAATTTTTCACGAAGTTAACGTAGTTTCATATGTTAGAGATTATGAGGTGCATGTTCAAAAAAAAAGAATGTCAGCCTCAGATCCTTGAACAAGGCTCGACTTGCGTCCAAATATTTTGAATATAGCAGTTTTTCAGTTTCAATATCCAGAAACTGCCAATTTAAATAATGTGCTATTGGGAAGTCAGAATATCTTTGGCGTAAATCCTATTATGGAAGAATGGCAAAAAAAATTAGATTCTATATTTAAACAATTAATTAATAAAAACCATTATTTGATGTTAAAGACATTGATACAGCTATTAGAAAACAAGTTGATTCAACATTATTCGTAGCTCCTCCTAACATAGTAATTCTTCAACCAGGTGAGGCTCCAAACAAAAATGAACATATTTATCATGTAGTTAACATGTTTCTAGAGGACTTTGGGTATACAGAGAGCAGTGCGTTGAATTTAGTTTGTGATGAGGCAATTTATCGTCAAATGAATAACTACAAAAATGAAGAATAAACAGCACATTGTATTTTAGAACAATGGTATACAAACAAAGTAATATGTAGCATATTTATTGCCACTTTTTCAGGATATAAACTTTTTGGGCTTGCAATACGGCTTGGCATTAGGTTTCTTGACAGACTTGTACAAATTGCAGACTACTAGGCAATATTTCGAGTACTCGAAGTTATCTAGATAGCTGTTGGGTTGCAATTCACCTATACACTAAAGAAAATAATATTTCTATTAATGATATTCCTAAAGAAAATAATGAATTACTAAAAATATTTTACCAATAAGCTGAATACTTGAAGTTATATAAACTTGAAATTTGTATAGCAAATTTCGACTTGCAAATTCATAGCTTGATGGTATTTGCTTCTTTATTCCCTAAAACAAAAAAAATATAGATATTCTGAATCAGTAGCACGATTTTTATCAGACCTTGAAAGAGACCACAATTCCTTCAAGACCTTCAAACAATAACTTCAATTAATTTGACACAAAAAGATTATTATTTTGCTTTCAATGAGGCTCTAGAAACTTTTGGCGTAAAATTTGTAAAAGAATACATGACTGGACACGCAACTAATACTGATAACCTAAACCTAATTATTAAATTAGCACAATCAGAATATGAAAGACTTGATTTGTTAGTTTTAGAGTTTGTTGAAGATTAGTCAATAAATAGAAACTTATAACCTATTAAAAGTCGTAAAGAAGCTCTTTGGGATTTAATTTTTGAGCTCAAATTAATATTTGGCAACTTGCAGTCAAATAAATATACCTTATTTACTAGAACTACCCAGTTAACTAATGATGATTACTAGCAGATATTTGCTTGCTACCAATTAGAAGTTAAAACAATAGAAATTTATGTTGCTATCGGATCAAAAAAATGAAAAAGTAAATGAGATCTTATACCCATAAAAATATCAAAAAATAAAAAAAAGTAGTGAATATCAGTTCTCAACAAACTTCGGAATTACATAATATGGAGGTTGAAGAAAACATACAAACAGTATTTAAAAATAAATCTGAAGCTCAGTTGTTATCTTCAAAAAAACATAAGAAACATAAAGCTATATACAAAGAAGAACAAATCTTGAATCAGCTTGAAGATTATAAAGATGCTTCAGTACTATCTACAGGAATTGCTAAGAGACTAGTAGAATAGTTGGCGAATATAAAGCAGTTTTTAGGGCTATCTACACATTGGACACTAGATAAAGTTCAATATCGATGGTGTTATCGCTATAAAAAACTGAAAAAAGTATGTATAAAAGATTTTTTATAATATCTTAGAGCAATATTACTTTTTTTTTTAGTCCCAACTGGATCCTATACAAATCAACATTCCTATGAAAGATATATTAACTTGAATTTTGATATACTCTAAGTACAAAAAAATAGTAAACAAAAATCTTTGTTAATTTAGTTTGAAGCTTGCTTTAATAACCGTATTTTAGTTTGTATTTATTAGTTTTCTTAGTTCTTTTTTTATTATTAAAATAACAATAAATATTAATAAAATCTATAACTATATACTAAAAATATTTGTGTGTAACAATAACGTTTAGACTACTAATATAAATAATTCTATTAAATTGTATAATATTCAATCTGATATTCTGATTTGTCAATAAATTCTTTAAATTTATACAAGAAGTTATTAAGTAAAGATATCTTCAAGGCTTAAATAAA